TTTTTTTTGCAAATACAGTAAATATGAAAAAAAGATGCAAAATTCAGTTTATGTAAATATCAGAGAATTCATAGTACAGATATCTAAGATACTGACACTTCAGAAATTACACAAAGTCAGAGTGCTGAGTACAGAAAATTATCCAAAATGAAAGTTGGTAGATTAATAGAAGTGAAAAAATTTTTTGCAGTGGTGTATTTACATTCAAAGTACACTTTTATTTCAAAGAAATTACAGGTTTTTTGAAAAGTGAATAATGATGTAATTCAACTCTCAAATTCGTGTTTTCATTTCTATTCACATGTGAAAGAATGGGATCAACTGTTGCTGTATCAAAGATATGAGAGTTTTTTTTTTAGGTGGGCATTATTACCTTTTCTCTGGAAGAGTAAGAACATTAAAATGAAAGACACATAATGAAATCTAAGTGGAGAGGCTCTTCTGGTTAACTGATATTGAGTGATGCATGAGGTAGGTGTTCAGAGTAATATTCTGCATTAATAGTGAAAAAAATTCTTAATTTTTAGAAATTAGTATATCATTTTACTAATTTTACTTTTCTGTAGTAAAATGCAGTACATTTCAGAATTTTAGAATATGTATGAACTTTGATTTTTAAACATTTTAACTTTAAGACTATTGTGCATTCAATGAAGAATTATGCCACAAACATTCACCTATCCCACCTTAATAGTGTAGGTAAAAGGTGATGACAGCAATATACTATTTGGTTACATAGTGGACTAACATCTCTAGTAATCTTTTTTGCCAGTGGCTTTAAACTGCAAATAAGTTAAGGAATATTATTCTCATAGGTTTTACATTTTTTATTTTTTTGTTTAAATTTATTATTTTTCATGAGTACATAGTATGTTTTTACATTTATGCCATATATGGCATGTTTTGATATATGCAATATGCAATAATTGCATCAGGGTAAATGCAATATCCATTACTAGCATTTATCCTTTGTATTTTGAACTATTCAATTCTATACTTTCAGTCATTTTTAAATGTATAACTAAATTGTTGCTGCCTACAGGGTTATCTTTAGGGTCATAATAAAAATTGTTAAAGTATAAGTAAAATACATTTCTGAGTCCTGAATACTTTAAAAAAAATTGTTATATATTTTTCTTTTAACATGTGGCGTCACTGCCTGCAAATATGTAAGGACTTTTAGTTTTGATTTACATAGAGGTAAATGTACATATATATTGCTTGAAAGATAACCTTTAGCTGTAGGAAAATTGTAAAGTGTACTTGTGTATCTGTACCTATTTGCAGAAGAAAAGAGCAATATTAGAATAAAACAAATCATTTAAATAAGGTGACTAATTTACTAGAAAAAAAAAAACCTCAAATGCTAAAAACAAATCTAGACTGCTTTGCATTGAATTCATTACTGTAAAATATTATGGCTTATAGTTCAGAATCTCCCCATGCAAATGTTTTTACTTGCCTGGTACTCTTGGTACAGCCATGTATTTCTTTATTCTTATAATTTCTTTTAAACAGTTTATGAAGTATTATGAGTTGGTCAGGGATTATAACAGTGATTTTTATAAAATTTAGTAGTGCACAAAATAATTTTTAGGTGTAATTTTACTATTAGTGTATTAAGTTTTATTTGGTTAAAACATTCTTGTTTTTTTAATTGGAGAACCTTATGTAACCCTACTTTTTAAAAGTTATTTTACTTTTCATAATTGACATTAATCAATTTATTGATTGCACCAGTTTGTTGAGTCAGGTAAGTACTATGGAGGCATCATAAGTCATGCGGATACTTTTATATATAAACATAGCAGAAAAACATGACAGTGCTTGCTGTGTAACAGATGTTACATGGTAAGACATAACTGTTCTTCCTGAAGTTACTTTGTAACTTCAAGTCAGAAATGAAATGTATCAGTGGTAAAACAGTAACATTGATTCTTCATGTGGTGTGTACATTATTTCCAGGTGGCAAAGCTCAGTCATGCTGAATTTAAAGAGAAATTCTGGTTATTTTATTTTCTAATTATTTTCAGCTTTGTTTCTCATTATATGCATTCCAACAATCACAGCCCTTTTTTTTTTTTTTTTTTTTTTTTGCTACAGCTTTCTCACTGTTACAGTGAGCCAATATCACGCCACTGCACTCTAGCCTGGGTGACAGAGCAAGACTCTTTCTCAAAAACAAACCTTTTACTCATTTTTAATGGTTGTTTTTTATTGTATCATCATTTGAGTTACACACGCACATGTTTTGAGACAGTCTCACTCTTGCCCAGACTGGAGTGCAGTGGTGTGATCTTGGCTCACTGTAGCCTCTGCCTCCTGGGTTCAAGCAATTCTTCTGCCTCAGCCTCCCAAGTACCTGGGATTACAGGCATTGCAACCATGCCCGGCTAATTTTGGTATTTTCAGTAGAGGGATTTCATTATGTTGGCCAGGCTGGTCTCGAACTCTTGGCCTCCCAAAATGCTGGGATTACAGCATGAGCCACCACTCCTGGCCAAGTTTCTTTTTTTTTTTTTTAAATGAATGAATTGTCACATGTATGGTTTGCAAATATTTTGTCCCATTTTTTAGTTTTCTTGTCCTGTTGTATCAGATTTTTTGCAGCAGTTTTTATTAATAATTTGAAGTAATATGACATTTATTTTTCCTTTGATTCCCTGGGATGTTGAGGTTAAATCAAAAGTTACTGCCTAGACTGTTGTTATGGGGCCTTTATATTTTTAGTAGTAATTTCAGAGATTCAGCCCTTACCTTTAAGTATTGAAACTATTTCTAGTGGATTTTTAGATATGATATGAAATGAGGAGGGTCTCCTTTTATTGCTGTGCTTGTGGCTATAATTTTCTCAACACCATTTACTGAAGATACTCCCCCTAAGAAAGTATCACCTATATTTAAAATGAGTTAACTGTAAATACGTGGATATCTTTCCGTTTTCTCTTTACTGCTCTATTGGCATATGTGTCTGTTTTTATGCAAATACCATACTGTTTTGGTTACTATAGCTTTGTAGTGTATTTCAAATCAGGTAGGGTAATAAACTTCAGCTTATTTTTTTACCCCCTGCTTGACTGCTTTGTCCATACAGGATCTTTTATGGGGTACCGTATAAATTTTAGGTATGTATTTTTAAAATTTTTATTAAGTATGTCACTGGTATTTTGATAAAGGTTGTGTTATATCTGTAGATTATTTTGTGTTATACAGATATTTAACAATATTAATGCCAATTCATTAATGAGTATACAATTTTTTGTGTAATATTTAATTTCTTACTTTAAGGTTCTTTATAGTGTAATGTGTTTTAACTTTTTGGTTACCTTTATTGCAAAGTATAGTTATTGTAGATGAGATTGCTTTTTTCTTTTTTTTTTTTTTTTACACGGAGTCTCACTCTGTCGCCAGGCTAGAGTGCAGTGGCATGATCTCAACTCACTGCAGCCTTCGCCTCCTGGGTTCAAGTAATTCTCCTGCCTCAGCCTTCCAAGTAGATGGGATTACAGGCATGCACCACCACACCCAGCTCATTTTTGTATTTTTAGTAGAGAGATGGTTTCACCATGTTGCCCAGGCTGTTCTTGATCTCCTGATCTCCTGACCTTCTGACCTTGTGACCCACCTGCCTCAGCCTTTCAAAGTTCTGGGATTACAGGCATGAACCACCGTGCCTGGCCAGGATTGCTTTTTATTTCATTTTAAGATGGTTAATTGTTAGTGTATCGAAATGCTACTGATTTTCATGTTGATTTTGTATTCTGCAAGTTTAATAAACCTATTAGTTCTAGAATTCTTAGTGAGGTCTTAGGTTTTTCTACACTGAAGAGTATGTCTTCTGCAAACAGGGATAATCTAACTTTTTTTCCAAGCTGGATGCCTTTGATTTTATTATCTAAATTTTAGTACTAAGTTTAATAATACAAACAAGTGGGCATTCTTGTCGTGCTGCTTCTAGCTTTTACAGTAAAAGCTTAAAGTATTTCCTAGCTTAATATGTTGTTAGCCATGCATTTTTTTTGGTATATGTGGTGTATACTGGCTTGAAGTGCATTTGTCCTATACCTGTTTTGTTCAGAGATATTTATCATGAGATTATGTTGAATTTTGTCAAACATTTATTCTGTGCCTGTTTGTTTTATTTGAGACAAAGTGTCACTCTGTTGCCTATGCTGGAGTGCAGTGGTGTGATCTCGGCTCACTGCAACCTTCGCCTCCTGGGTTCAAGTGATTGTCCTGCCTCACCATCCCAAGAAGCTGGAATTACAGGTATCTGCCACCAGCCAGGCTAATTTTTGTACTTTTTAGAGATGGGGTTTCACCATGTTGGCCAGGCTGGTCTCAAACTCCTGACCTCAAGTGATCAGCCTGTGTTAGCCTCCAAAAGTACTGGAATTACAGGCCTGATCCACTGTTCCTCATCAATTTTGCATCTATTTAAATGTTAGTGTTATGAAATTACAA